TCTGCCTGCTCTGCTCCCCGCTCTGGCTCTAGTGGGTTCTCTCACCCTCCCATGCTTCTGACTGTACCCAGTGCTTGTATAAATAAATAAATAAATCTCTTAAAAAAATTTTATTTATTTTTATACAAGAACCGGGGTACAGGCTAGATACGCGGGAGGGTGAGAGGATTCACCAGAGAGAGAGAGAGTAGGGGAACAGAACAGGCAGACCGAAACACACTGCTGAGGGAGCAGCGGGCGAGACAGGAGAGGTCTGCTATGCCATGTGGGTATCTCCGTAGCCAGCGGGATCGAACCAGCACTGTAGAGGCTGTGGACAGCTTCACAGCGCTGCGCTCAACCTCCTGCGCCACCAGGGAGGCCCTTTAGGGCATTTTTTTTTTTTTAAAGATTTATTTATTTATACAAGCACTGGGTACAGTTAGAAGCGCGGAAGGGTGAGAGAATTTACCAGAGTCAGAGCGGAGAGCAGAGCAGGCAGACTGACGAAGTACACTGCTGAGGGGAGCAGTGGGCGGCAGGAGAGGTCTGCGCGCCATGTGGGACCTCGCCCAGGGATCAAACGGCCAGCGCTCAACCTCTGCGCCACCAGGGGAGGCCCCCTTTAGGGCATTTTAAAAAATAAAACTTGAAAGTTAAATGTAGAGCTTACATTGCAATGACAACACTTCCTTAACTTAGTTTTACCCATCTCTCAATTTCTTTAAGATCTTCTACAAGACAGAGTTCTATCTCCAAATTTGATTTTATCTTTTCTACTAAGGTAACCTTAGCCTACATACGTAGGACTATTTGAGTTATATCACTATCTTACTCACTAGAGAGAGGGAAATAAAAAAAGGCCCATATCTCTCCATGTCAATAATTCTGGATTAATACTTTCATATAAGTCACTCAAACCTTACAAGCTAAATTAAAATTCACTAATGAACTTTTCACCAAATCTCCTATATGGTCTACTTCAAGCTTTTTAAAGTCACTTAAACATTCCTTGATGTTTTCTGTCGTTCATGTATTGCCATGGTAATTATTCCTCTTAGTTCTATTTCAATAGCTCCCGGGTTTACTCTCCTTAACTCTCCATTTGCTTTCCCCCTCTAAGAAAAGTTACACTCAATACCACATTATTGTCCCAGGATCACCACTTAAATACTGGCTCAGGAGCTTGCACCAATACATCTCACTAGGGCTCAATAATCCAGCTATTGTTTTTCTTATGAAATCACCAGGAGGAAAAAAGCTGCATGCTAGAGCACAAAAGCAAATAAATGATTTGGAAATTTCTTAAAAAACAAAGCAGAACTACTTTCACTTAAATGCCCCAAATTTCCTTGTAAAATTTCACATAAAATGGGAGTGGTTATTACTTTTTTTGAATATATAAAATTAATGTTATCCTTTCAGTAGTTTTTAAAAATTACTACCTGCAGCGTTCTCAAGTTTAGCAATCATCAGATTTAAGGGGGAAAAAACTTAGATATTAAAACTTACCTAAATAAAAACTGTCTATTGAGATTAGAAACATCTATAGTATCCATGTCTATGACATGAATCTGTCTGAAACCAGACAATGCCTGTAGAAACAAACAAAAAACAATTAAGCAGAAATTTCCTCACATTTGAAATTTTAAGATTTGTTTTCAAGGTAGTCCTAAATCTACAAATTTTTAATAATAAACTCTGTATAATCTATTCAATGATTAAACCGTCTTATAAGGTACATAAAACTCAGGGCTCCTACAAAGATGAAAAATCTTTAACTATTCAGTTTTAAACAGTGTATAACCAAAAGAGAACAACCCAAAATTTCTACAGTTTTGCATTTTCATAAACACATCTCAATACTTGTGGCTTTGCTATTACAAGATACTTTCATTTTACTAATATTTAATTTACTTTAATTTTACTATGAACAGTTTTTGCTATTATGTTTGCAAAATATTATTAAAGCAATTCCTACAAGCTTTATCTCAGTTTACATGACATTAAGCATGCCACAATTCAGAAGTAAACTATTAAAGAGAAACTATATTATAAATACACACGTACACTGAATATACAAAAGAACTATTAAAAGTACTGAGTCAAGAACAAGCAGTCAAAAAAGCTAGAGAAAAGCAAAATACTGTTGTGTTTCAATGATAATGCCACACACTCTAAGAGCAAAACCACTATTCAAATTTATCAGCAGAATTAAGTCTCCATAATATGCTTTTCTGGTCTGGATCCATTTATTTAAGTGATTACATTAAATCACTTGCTAATAATTTCCCCATTTTTCTGTCCCAATTTACAACAACTCTTATAAGAGTTGTCCATACTTGTTCTCTCAAACTGCTCTCTTGACCTTACTCTGTTTTTTGTTTTACCTTTAAAAGGACAGGTTTATTAGCAAAAGGAGTTAGCTGAAGGACTATGCACTTACATAGTCACAGAGGGGCAGGAAAGCTATTTTGCAAAGTGAAAAGGTTTGTGGAAAGAAATACCTGGGTAGTCACAGGTAGGCAGGAGAGCTGTCTTGAGCTTACTCTGAAAAAGCTTTTGCTCCCACCTCTCCACCAAAACTGCACTTGTCAATGTCACCAGTGATCTCCATGTTATTACCTCCAGTGATCAATTCTCACACCCTCTGACCTTACCTATCTGAAGTACTTGGCAGGGTATGGATCAATTCCTTAAACATGTTCCCTTGGTCACCACGTGCTTGAAAACTGGAATGCTTTTTTAAAATTAGTTTCTAGTTCACCACTCAGGAGTTTTCCTCCCACCTAACTAGAGAGAATTTGGACTATCCTTTCATTAGTTCTGGTGAACTCAGATAATCACATTAGATAAACAACATCTAAAAGACATAGTAATTTTCAAAACCAAACTCAATCATCCTAATTTGCTAACATAACCAAATATACTCATTTCCCATTCTTTCATTTCCAGTTAATGTTAACTCCATCTTTCCAGAGATCAGGGCTAAAACTTTGCTATGTCATCCTTAATGCCTTTCTCTCATGCACCACAAATCTGTTGCATGAGCTAAACCTGTTGACTTCATCTTTAAAACATTCATAATCTGACCTCCTCTTTCCACCTCCAAGTCTACCACCATGTTCCAGGTAACTATCACTTCCTGCCTCAATGATTGTAACAAACTTCTAACTAATCTCTGAGCTCCCTCCTGTTTTTCCTTTGATCCAGTCAGATCAAGTTAATTTGATCTGCTTAAATCTCTCCAAAGACTTCCTAATTCAGTAAAACTCAAATTTCTTACAACAGCCTTCAAAATCTTTTGTGATATTTACTGCAAGGCCCTATGTCTCTTATTATATCTCTGATAGCATTCTGAAAAATGCTTCCTCTTATCCACTTCTGCTTTAGCTATAACACCCTTGCTGTACTGGAATATATACGCCACGCTCCTACTTCACAACTTCTGCATTTGCACAGTCTACTGTCAGAAATATTCTTGCTCCTCTTGGCTCAAAGAGCACCTACCTTTTTGTAAGCCCTTCCCCTTCCTACCAGGCTACCTATTTTCTATCCTTCCTTTCTCCATAGCATTTATTACCACCTAATATAAGGTGTATTTGACTTGTTTTTTCCCATCACTAAAATATAAGTCAAAAAAAAAAAAAACCACCTATCAATATTGTTCAATGCTTATTTTTAGCATCTAAAACAGTACATAGCTTATGGGGAAGGAGGGTCAATAAATATTTAATCAATATTAATGCCATATACTTTTTCTTAGAAAGAGCATTTGGGGGTATTACAATTAAAAAACATGCATACCCCTATGTACTTATGTCTGAAATAAGCAAAGTAAGTGGTAAAACTGAAAACCCTGAGTTTCCTTCTTTTGTCTAGGAGGTTATTACAATGCAATAAATAAATACCAAGGCTACTCCTAAAGTTGCTAAATGACTAATCCTCAGCTCTAATCTCCAATTACATTTAAAATTAGTATATAACACATTTAAAAATAACAATTTCCTAAATGGAAAGAGTTAAGGATTAGGAGATTTGTGTATAAAATGCCTACCAAAACCACTATCCATTCTCCAAAAATCCTTCCTTTCTAGAATTCTTTGGTTTATGTACTAAATGAGTATTTATGGCTGATAAAGTACTGTCATTTTGGCACCCCATCAAAGTAAACTGTACATATTGCTATTTCATGTGAAACTTGTCTCCCCAATGAAACTTCAAATTTATTAAGTATAGAGACCATGAATAGCTGCTACAATCCCTCGAAGAATCCATCACAGGTGATGAAGCAGTTTTGTAGGTTTTGTAGTTTCATTAGGAGTAAGATTAGTGTTCCCTAGCAGAATTAATGTGGTTGTTTATATTTAAATTATAGCCTCATGGCCAACTTTTTAGGTCCTTTAATTGGTTGTTACCTGCTTCATTTTCAAGTAAGTCTACTCTAGCATTTCCACTTTTTATATACCAAGGAGTACGATACCTGGAAGATAACGTCTCTAAATCAATCCTCCCCTATCCATTTTTGTCAAATAAACTGACAAAGACTTATACAAAGCTACTCTGTGGTAACCAGAAGCCAATGAAAACAACTAATTAAATCACAAGTTAAGGATATCCAAGCAGTATATGAATATATTTCACTAAATAGGAACCTTGCTTAAAATGATATTCATTAAAAACAAACTGACCAAAAGGGAAAAAAAAAAAAAAAGAGGTTTAGCATTCCCAAATTTCATCAATCTACTACTATAAGATCCTCAAAAATTACTATCTGGTTAATGACCTAACAGTTCAGTGAAAAGAACACCCTAAGAATCAATGTCCTACATTAGATTCCAGGCACATCATTACAATCCAGAAAAACCTGAGCAAGTTATAATATAATTTTAAAACTTACTGTCTCCTTCTATATGAAAATACCTTATCCATGTAACAAGATGATTTTCAGGAGCAAAAGAAATAATAAATTCTTTAAAATTACATGTTAAAATATGAAATGCTAGTTTTTATAACTTACATCATTGAAACTAATGAGTGTTCTGCAAGAGGAAGCAGATTTGTTTGCTTAAAGAGCAGAGAAGAAAACAATTTCTAGTGACTTTATAGCTGAGAACATTAGTGTTTTAGAAGTCCCAAAGGTTATCTAACATTTTAATTACTGTCTGAAATATGTCATGCTAAAGTTAGCTAACAAAGGCTCAAGTAGCAAGGTCAACAGGCAAAATAAAAAAATTTATGACATAAAAGGGAAAATGGTTAATTATCACAAAGAAGAAAAAAATACATATTTTATATATAATTACCAGATTTTTCAGGAGCTCACATCCTAAGCCGCCAGCTCCAATCACTAGAACTTTACATGTATCTAACAAAAACTGAAGAGACTGTAAAGAATGAAAAGGCATATTAAAACTGGTTGACAAAACCCCAAAGTAACATCAATAAAGTAATAAGAGCCATAAAACAGTTTTTGATGTTTCCGTGAAAAATTCAATTTGGGATAAAGAGTACTTGGTATTTAATAAATTATTTCAAATTTAAGAACAAGGTAGAACCAGAAGTTCTATAACCCTATATTTATTTATAAATTATTTATAACCCTAAATTATTTATAATTTTTAATTTTTTAAATTAATTTTTATTGTACAAATTGCAAGGTTATTTGTAACAAGAAAAACTATGCCGGGCCTCCCCGGTGGCGCAGCGCTTGAGCGCTGGGCTGCGAAGCTACCCGCAGCCTCTGCAGCACCGGTTGGATCCCCGGTGGCAGCGCCAGTTCGATCCCCAGCCGCAGGGCAAGGGTCCCACATGGCGCGCAGACCTCTCCTGCCGCCCGCTGCTCCCCTCAGCAGTGTACTTCAGTCCTTCTGCCTGTTCTGCTCCCGGCTTTGGCTCTGATGAATTCTCTCACCCTCCCGTGCTTCTGACTGTACCCAGTGCTTGTATAAATAAATAAATAAATCTTTAAAAAAAAAAGGAAAAAAAGAAAAAAAAGGAAAAACTATGCCAAGTTAAACATTCTTTTTTTTTCTTTAAAAGGGGAAAGTAGCAAATTCAATTATTTAAGTGATTTCCTAAAAAAAAAAAAAAAAAAGTGCAAAACACCTTTAGAACAGAGGATCAAGTACTATACAAGGTATTCAAAGGTCTAAATAAAATAAAAGTAGTTGTAACAGTAACAACTACTTTTGAATATAATGACTGAGACTTCCAAATCATTAGATCACAATAAGGAAAAAACTGATAAAACTCTTAGAAAATTACATATCAGCAGAAATATAATTTGAAACAATCATTCAACAGGAGCATCTTAAATTACCAGGGGAAAAAAATCAGAAGCATAAGAAAATATGGTAAAATTTATTCAAAGAATGGCAGAGTTAATTCTGTCCAAGATTCAAAAGAAAGGTTACTCAGATGAGACACTGGGTCAAACCCAAGAGCATGCATTTTAGAAGCAGCACGGTGTTTCTATTTCAAAACAACATCTCTTTATAAACACAAAGGTCATAAAATTTACTATAAAGAATACTTTTTCTGACTTTGTAGTGAAAAACAAGTTGTATCTAATTTAACATTTGCTTTAAGTCACACTATTAATGTAAAATTCTATTATACAGTAATCACATAACTTAAACATGCAATTATATTGGATTTAAATTACTTGTTTCAACTAAATTTCAAAAATTAAGCACATCTATATTCCTATCAAAATTAATTTCTCAAAGCAAGACTAAAAAGTATTGTCAGAAGTAATTTTAAACTGGAATTTAAAGTGAAGTATGACTTAGAATTTTAAATGAGGTTATAAAGTTTATGTGCCCTTGAAAAAATCTGTATTATATGAAAAATGTAAAAAAAGACTCATATTGAACATTTAAATAAAATCAATTGCAAATATTCAATTTAGCATTTCAAGATAACTTATACAATTTTATTAGTATTTTTATTATAAGAGCAAATTAAAAGGAAGCATTTTATTATTTTTGAAACATATAACTAAACTATTAGAAGATTTATTTAAAAATAAATGTTTCTCACTTCAGTGCTCGGTTCGAAATCAGGGTGTGTGAAGGGTCCAGATCGCTCGAGGAACTTCTTTACATGGTTCCAGCGACCTTCCCAGTCTCCAGTGTCCCCACACCCACCATCAACAGCCATTCTGCACAGAACACAGTAAATTCAGCTGCAAAGATCAGTATGAAAAAGCCACACTTACAAACATTAGGGGTTTCCCCAAATGAAAAGGTAATCACACCAAACCTGCTCAAATAAAAGGGAACAGTCAATGTGGTTTTCTTATGCTTTCATTTTCCCTTGGTGGCTATTATTATACGATTTAAAGCTAAGAACTGCACATTTGATTAAATATATCAGTCTACTTGTTTGGAATTCCTAAAGCAACCCAAGAAAAACTTGGGACAGCGGTCAATTAATGAGAAGTGGGCTTTTCTACACCTGGAAATTACAAAAGATCACTCTAAAGTCCAACCTGTTCCTTCAACACACTTGGATCAGGAAACATCAGTTACCAAAACCCCCCCCACAACTTCACTTTCAGAATTGTGAGGCTTCAAATCTAATACAACTCATGTTATTTCCATATTTGAAAAACAGGATTTGCGTATTTTTGATGAAAGGAACTTTCACGTATTCTTTTCCGAATGAGGTCCCAATTTTCAAAAAGAACTTCAAAACTATTAAGTGTTTTTTGTTGCAAATAAACAACACAAAGTTTTAGGTTCTAATTATGCCACAAATAGGCATTAACATCTGGAGACCCTAAGAACAATGAATAAGAAGGGACTCCTTAAACTGTATTTTCTTATTCACTGAGGGCAATATTCATATTTGGTTGTGCTTACTTTTAACTTTCAAGTTTCCTATAACCTCACAATTTCTACCTTCGAGTATATTAGTAACACCTAATTTTGTACAAAAAAGGATCAAGAAGTATTAGCAAAGCAAGCAATAAAAACAAGATAAATTTTGATGTCACAACTGGATTTGGTTCCACAATTAACAGCATTGTGACCTTGAGAAGATTACAGCCATAAACCTCATCTGTAGGCTGTTCATAGCTACTTGAGGTCAAAATGAGGATATAGAGATAATCCAGAGAGGCCCTAGTATGGTACTCGGCATATACTAAGCATTCAAATTTTAACTATCATTTTAAGCAAAAGTGAAAAGGAAATGAATAGTTGGGAAGGAATGTGAAATTTATTCTGTCTTTCTAGTTCTCTTGCAATATAACTTTCTGAGGGATGCCTACACACTCTGAAGTACTGTTCCTGGGAATTGGCACAGAAATTACTAACTCACCACACCCACTGCAGGAGTACCCCCGCCCCAGTAGGGAGGAAGAAAAATATGTGGCGTTGGCATGGTTATAAAACATTTAGTTTAAACCTGTTTCACCAGCACAAAACTAAGCATCTGATAAGAAGTAGGATGTGTAGTAAAGAGGAAAAATAAACTCTTTGGAGTCAACTCTCTGCTTTAAGAGCCAATTACTTTGATTTGAGTGCTTAGTACAACACCTGATATACAGTTCCCATAAAAATATCTGCAATTAATACTACTGTCTCAGTGTTTATGAAAGACCAAAAATAGGCTAATCTCCGTTTCGTGTTTAACATGTCTTTTCACAAGACTGCAGCTCTAACAATTTGGGATAGAGGAAGGAGGGCTCAGGGTCCTTCCGCAAGACCTTTGGCCCAAGCACCCTGGCCGGCCCCTGCAAAAATCTGCTGCGGTGCACCCGGGCCCGGAGCCCGCCCGAGGGAGAGAGGGCAGGAGCCGCCCGCCCGGCACCTGGGGCTGCGGGACGGGGGACCGGGGATGAGGCCGCGCGGCCTGCGCTCCGACTGCCCCACTCCCACCCCCCCGGTCCCGCTGCGGCTGGTCCCCTAGGCCTGGGGTCGGGGGAGGCGGGGGTCCCCGGAGAGGGCCCCGGCCTCCCGGCAGCACTAACTTCTCAGCCAGCAGCTCCTCTATTCTCCTTCTTTTCTTCTCCCTAAAAGAAAGAGAGAATAAAAGAAGGGTCAGCATCACGCTACACACTGGGCGCCGCGAGGAGATGGGGGGCGAGGGGACGGGGCGGGGGTCGGGGGGACCCCGGGTGGCGGCGGCGACCGCCCACCGCCACGCTCTCTCACAGCCCAGCCCGGACCCGCGCGCCTGCAGAGCCCGGGTACTTACGGCTCCTCACCATCCGCCATATTGTTCTCCGCCTCCTCCCAGGTGCCCCCACGGCGGGCGGAGCCGGAGGGGCGGGGCCGGAGGGGCGGGGCGGGCGGGGCCGGAGGGGCGGGGCGGGCGGGGCCGGAGGGGCGGGGCCGACTTGGCTGAGGCTCTTCAGGGCATTACACCTTTCCTTGATTATAATCGTATAAATGTAATTATATATAGAATTATCTTGATTAATACACTTATTTAGATAAATCACATACAGTGTATAGTGGTGTTATGCTGAACGCAAATACAGCTATAATACATTATTTTTATACAATGTGTGTGTTAGTGGTTATATAAAATGACATGTTCTAGGAAAAATCTCCTGGAAGAGCTTAATATGCCAAAACTTCCCTCTGCGGAAAAACATGAGAGAATTCTCACTTTCTAATTTTCACAATTGATCCAACATCTTTGCATAAAGATACAAACTTTAAGAATAATTTTCTGAATCAGTTTATATAGGTGCTATGGAGAGATTATTGTTTTCTTTCCTTGTGAATATTAAGATTAGTATTTTATTTTATTTTTATCTATAGCAATTTTTTATTTATATATTTGACATCATTGTTTTAATTTTTAATGACACATCTGTTATGTCAGATAAGAAATTCAGTGGAAATAGAACCATTAATAAATTGAAAAAACATTCTTTTATGGGGAAAAGCATGTAAATAGATTAAAAGTATAAAGAAAATTGCAAAATTCAAACAATAGTTTGGAACAACCATAATCTCATCACCTAAAGACAAATGGTGATAGAATTTTGAACTATTTTCTTTCAGAGTTGGATAAGTGTGTGTTTGTGTGTATGTGTGTGTGTGAGCGTGCATGTGCATACACACAATTGGATGGCTAAATACAAAAAAATCATGCTTTACGTGTACATATCCATATATAATATATATATATATATATATATCCATGAGGGATACATATATCCTTTCTTAGAGCAGAACAAGAATGAGATTTAGAGTTAGAGTGAACGGTTTAAATCTTTAACTCTCCACTTACTGACTATAAGACTGTGGGCACTTCCGTGTCTTTATTTGTAAACTGGGGGTAATAGTAACACCTGTAACGCTGACAACTAAGTGAAATCCATAATGGCTCTTAAAGTAATATTTCTGATCAGCCACATCAGCATCATTTGGGGAGGTGTTATAAATGTTCAGCCCCATGCCTGGCCTTCTGCAAAGCCTTGATGATTCTGTGTAAAATGAAGTTTGAGAACCACTAAAATGGACTATATGAAGCCTGATGAATACTTAGTAAATACAGGTGTTACTAATTGTAATATTTAATCTCTTTTTGTATTTTTTTTTTTCATCCCTCAGTCAGGTTCAGTTCAGTAGCACTCGAGGAGCTGAAAGTCATTGTTGGGCAGAAAAGGGGGGTTGGTGGGTGGGATTTGAAGTTCACAGTCCCCATTCCTGGCAGGACATACCAGCCTTTCTCCAGGTCACATGTTTCGGATTACTTTCATTTCAAATAGATATATCAGAAATTATTACACTATTTGCTATAACATATACAGACAAACGTTCAGGGTTGTCCTACGTAGAAGCACAAGTCTGGGTATAAGAGCCCCCTACAGCTAATCTAGCCCCCTGGAGGAAGAGTGACAAAGAGCTGCTACTACTACTATTTCAAATAGTGTCTGAGATAAAGCAAGGATTCCATATGCAGTCATGTTTATTTGAAATGCTTTATAACAAAGGTGAAAATATGTAGAGGAGGAAAAAAATCTGCCATAAGAGAAGCATGGAGGGAAAAGGGGAGAAAGGAATTATGCCATATGAAGTAATATCTGCCTTTAAAAAAAAAACCTTTGGAGTTTTAAGCAAATAAGTAAAAATAGACTGAACAAATGTTTATTAGATTTTAATTGCCTATGATCAATAGTCATCATATTGTTACTAACACACATTTGACAGCTTATGGTCATATAGTATTGAGCAACAGGAAGGTCAAAGTTCTTAGTCATAGCTCTCTAATGCTCACTGATCTCTCCAACAGCTGTGGGTTCCTACTGGGGCTCCCACGCTGGTCTTGACCAAGGTCATTTACTCTGCCTACCCACAATGCTGCTTCTTGAAATTCTTGAGCCCAGGCGAATTATTCCACACCCTCTGACTTCCTGTAACTGAGCACCAAGGCCTGGCACATCTCTAGTGAGTGTCTCAATTTCATTTATTTATTTATTTATCTATTTAGTTATTTGAATTAAATGCTAGATATTTATTTTCTCACAGTTCTGGTCGGAGACTGAAAATGCAAGGTCAAGGTGTTGGTCCTCTCTTCTGAGGACAGTAAGGGAAGGAGATGATCCAGGTCTCTTTCTTTGGCTTGTTGGCTATCTTCCCCTCTGTTGTCATAGGTCATCCTTTGTCATCGTCTGTGTCTGAATTTCCTCTTCTTACAAGTAGACTAACTATACTGACCAGGGGCACTCAAGATTGGAGAAAATTAAGTTATTTCTTCACAGTCCCTAGCAGGAATGGGAGAGCTAAGACTGTAATTTTCCTCTGTCTGACTTATGACTCTCTCATTTTTCCAGACTCAAGAAAATGTGGGAACTCAGAAGCATTTTCATATATTTTTAAAAGATTTATTTATTTGCGCATACAAGAACTGGGTGCAGGCCAGAGGTGTGTGTGTGGGATGAGAGGATTCACCAGAGACAAAGTGGGGAACAGAACAGGCAGACTGATTGAAATACACTGCTGAGGGAAGCAGTGGGCAAGACAGGGTAACTCCCTGGCCAGGGATCAAACTCGTGCTTCAGTGGTTGAGGATAGCTTCCTAGGTTGCGTCTTATCCCCTTGAGCAACCAGGGAGGCCCGCATTTTCATATTTTAAACTTTATTCAAAAAAAGTATCACCTATGCTATATTTAAGTACCTATTTGATTTAAAAACCAAATTTTCTGAATGGCAAGATAATCTAGAGTCATTGTAAGTTTTTTAACTGCCTTCTTTCTGAATCATCAGTGAAAATTAAATTATGTCTTCTAGACTTTGCATTAAGTATTTTATTGCTTTCTATTTTTTTTGAAAATTGATGGTCTGATGATTGTGTTTAGTTTCTTTTTTAAAAGCACCACTCTCGCGTTTAGAGATTCTGTTCATTATCTTAGACACAGCATTTTAGAATTGTGTCTACCAAATTATTGCTTTAAAATGTAAATAATATGCCCAACCCATAGCTGCAGTTCCCTGATTGTTTACTTTATCAGAATGAACCATAGTTTAATAATTTCCCCCAAGAGAATAGGAATAGAGAAGAGAGGTGAAATAACAAACCAGCTCTTTCATGCTACATGTCCTTTCCATTTTTCCTATCTCATTTCATTCATAGTGACTCATAGTGAATCGGGAAAACACAGGCATTGCATTCAGATGTGCAGAGGTCATTAACTGCTTAGTTTTCAAAACCAGCTCATCCTCCAGTAACACTAGAATCATCTTCCATTCCATTTTTTTAAAAAATATAATTTGGAATGTGAACAGCTGCCAGTATTTTCCCCAAAAGTCCAGCACACATCCCTAGGTTGAACACCCCAAAGAGATATGTCAAAGGAGACCGTTGGTATTCGGGCTGTTAGGGAAAACCTTGCCACCTCGCTTCAGACAAGGATTTCCTCGGGTCTCCTTCGGTCACTCACCACTATTCCGAGCTCCGTCCCTTACTCTGTCGCAGGCTCTGCTTAACCACTTAGAACCAATCACGCAGGAAAGAAGGAACAGAAAATCCGCCCTTCCGCTCCAGTTTCGTTTGCACTGCTGTGCGCCAACCGCAGAGCCAACGGAGGCCGAGCCACCAGAATCTCTATAACCCAGCTCAGCTGATCGGTTGCCGCTCCCGCCGCCTCCGGATTCCAGAGGCGAGGAACAAGAAGCTCGGCGACATGGACGTGAACATCGCTCCGCTCCGCGCCTGGGACGATTTCTTCCCGGGCTCTGACCGTTTCGCCCGACCGGACTTCAGGGACATTTCCAAATGGAACAACCGTGTGGTGAGCAACCTGCTCTATTATCAGACCAACTACCTGGTGGTGGCTGCCATGATGATTTCCGTTGTGGGGTAAGTGGGTTCCCCTCCCCGGCGCTGGTGGGGACAGCACGGAGGGGGCTCGGGGTGCAAGATCGGGGGATGCTGAGACTCTCCAAGCCCAGCGCCGCCCTGGCAGCTGCAATCGGCCAAGCCAGTGGAAACTTCTTCCCTGGGCCAGGCCGCAGCGATCTGGGGGGAGAGTCTTTTTTGCTTTCTGCTCCTCGGGCTGAGACAAGGGCCCTACCGCTGAGGACAAGTCGCCAACCCCGGGCGAAAGAAAAGAAAGACTTTTTTTTTTTTCCGTGCCCGGTTAGGCACAGATTGATATTTACAGTGGTGCAGTTTAAAAAAAACAAAAACAAAAAACAAGAAAGAGGAAAGTGGTGTAATGCTATTCTGGGCTGGTTGGCTGGGTGGGGCTTGCGCCGGCTGCAGAGGCTTAGGGCGACTGGGTGTGGATCCGGACTGAGCCTCCCTCGGGGTGTTAGTAAAAGGGGCACTAAGTCGACGCGCTTTGTCGACTTCTCAGCGAAGTGCTTACCTCACCGTGCAGAAAGCTGAGCTAGGGAGCAAGACGGTGGATGTTCCCTGGTGGCGCTTCTCCCAGTGTAGGGTCAAGGCAGCTCTGACGCTAGGAACGGGGTCCTTTTGCAGTTTTTCCCTGGAGTTGCCAGGCGTGGTTACTTTGGCTGTTATCTTTGGACTCTGTCTGAAGGTGTTTTCATTATTTGATCGTAAACTAAAGAGCGCCTTGTGTTGTATGTGATTTCTGCATATGTGCACACGAACACCTGCTCTGCTAAGAAGCCACGTATCCTTATAGTTCATCCTTTAAGAAATGTTGCTCCCACTTTTGCAGAATGGGTGGTGATATTCTAGATCTTGCTGATGCTATATATCTGTAAAGAAAAAGCCACCCTCTACTTTGTAAAGGAACTCACCTGCTATTAAACGTGCCTGGCATTTGTTTCAGAACAGAGGGAAACAGCTTGCTGGCTTGGGAGACAGAAGAACTCCCAACCTTGGAGGGTATGGGAAAGGGCGAATAGGGTGGTGGCAGGTTGATTTGCTGTTCCTTGGCTCACTTATGGAGCACCTCTCTGTGCCAAGCTTGAACACACCAAGAGAAATTCAACATGAATTCTGGCCCAAGGGCATATGGCAAATGTAAAAAAAAGCTTAAGACACAGACGAGAAAGAGAGCTTCACAATTTCTGGGTGTGGTTAAATGCCCCTAGGCAAAAGTGAACATTCATTTGTGGGATTTCAAAGACAATTACATGTAGACTATTCCATGGATCATCATTGTGTGTTACCTAATGAAGTCCAAACTGAAAATGGTTTGGTAGGTAAAGGTCACGGGTTCTGAGCCTATTCTGATTTAGAGTGGCAGCCAAGTTAAAATTAGTGGGATAGGACAGACTTGAGGCAGCTAGGTAGATTCAGAAGCTCCCACTAAAAATTTCTTTGAAGCATAATGAATATTAAGTCAAATTGCAGCTGTTATTTTGCTTTCTTATTCACTTTTCTTTTCTCTCTTTTTGTAAAGAAGTGAGCAAGACATTTGTAATCTAGCTATGCATTTTTCTTTATAGGTAACCCCCAAACATAGTTATGGGGCAAGGTTTGATTCAATCAAATGTACAGAAAATGAACCAACATTGATTTTCATATAGGTGTACTCCCAAACCAGAGCCAAGCTTGGGCAGCTTTGCTGCAGTGATGGAATACAATTTTCACTGTGAAGGCCAGTGCCAATCCCTTGACTAAATATAACTCAGGCAGTTTGAGGGTGTTGACCCTTCCTTTTTCTCTTTTCAAATAGACGGTGTTGATTGACAGTGAAATTTTTAAAGGAAAAAATGAATAGTAAGCATGAAATTTATTTTTTCTTTTTCATATTTTAAAAAATTTACAAAAGGTACAGACCATTAGTAAAATGTTTTAGAAATTACGTATATATAGGGGCCTCCCTGGTGGTGCAAGGGGTTAAGTCTCAGCAGTATGAAGCTATTGGCAGCCACTGCAGCAGTTTGATCCCCAGCCAGGGAGCTACCCACATAGCTCAGCAGACCTCTCCTATCTCCCCCACTGCTCCCCTCAGCAGTGTATTTCTGTCAGTCCACCTGTTCTGTTTCCACTCTGTCTCTGGTGAATCCTCTCACCCCCCACACTGCTGGACTACACCCCAGCTCTTGTATGCATAAATAAATAAAATAAATTTTTAAAAAAAGAAATTACGTGCATATAAAAAGTGAGAGTTCCTTTGTTTCCTGGTGAAAATTGGATGTATGACCTTTAACTATTTTCTCTGTACTACAAACTCACAGTCTGTAATTTTTTCCAGTTTTAAAAAAATAATCTATTAATAATAAAAACAAACATTTGTTGAGTGCTCTGTGTGCCAGGTACCTTTGCCAAGTAATTGACCCGTATTACCTCATATAACCCAATGAGATTATTAAATGAGGATCAGAGAGGTCAAGTGCCTTACTCAAAGTCACAGACCCAGGCTTGTGTGCTTAATTACTGTGTCATGAGGTTTCTTCCCGAGTCATGAGGTTTAGAATTATAGAATCTTCAAGTTGGAAGAAATCAAAAAGCTTCAGAATCAAGGAACTTAGTTGATTCTGGAGTATTTCTCATTCTAAAGAGAATTCTGTTTTGGCGATGTCGGTAGATGTGTGGGTCAGAGCAGTGCTGGAGGCTTTTTTTCTAGATCCCCCAGCACCTGATAGTTCCACATACTATCTTGATAAAGTGTGTGAAAATGTGGTCCGAGTGTTTGCTGGGATAGGACAATGTTCAATAGGTGTTCTTCAATGGCGCCCTCCCCTGCTGGTTTGGAAGATCCTCTGGGAGGATTCTAGCCTCAGCTCCACCCTCTCTAGTGTTGAACACTAAATAGGGTGAGAATAGAGAGGGGTCTGCTCCTTATGATTACAGGAAGGGAGAGGAACAATCAAGGGATATCATCCAACTCTAGAAACACTGGAAGGACCACCTATACATGTGTGAAGATGGAGGGGGCTTAGGATAGAAATGATTTGGGGTAGGAGGGCCTGATCAGGCAGGGCCTAGTGATACATGGTTAGAAGTGTTGGGTCTTCTTCCTAAAAGCATGGTTTATCAGGACATGACTTTTGCCTAGTAGGCCTAGGTTAACTTTGAGTAAGTCTCTAAATAGCTCGTTTTTAAAAATTTTTTTTAAGGATTTATTTATTTATGCATACAAGAGCTGGAGTACAGGCCAGAGGTGTGGCAGGGGGAGGTGAGAGGATTCACCAGAGACAGAGTGGGGAACAGAACAGGCAGATTGACTGAAATACACTGCTGAGGGGAGCAGCGGGCAAGACAGGAGAGGTCTGCTGTGCCATGTGGGTAGCTCCCTGGCTGGGGATCAAACTCATGCTGCAGTGGCTGCGATAGCTTAATAGGTTGCATCTTAACCCCTTGCGCCACCAGGGAGGTCCCTGAATTGTTCTTGTTGAGGAGTTGTCATATCTTCTGACTGTTCAAGTAGTAGAAAGCAGTGGTTATAAGCTTAGGCACCAAGGAAGATTAAGTTTTAACCACCAGTCACTAGCTATGTGACCTTGGGAAAGTCACCCGAACCACCCTGTGCCTCAGCTTATTTTCTGTAGATTGAGACTAATTACAGTTCCTGCCTCAAAGGGCTTTTATGAGGTTTGTCTGAGTTAACATAGGCAAGGTTCTTAGAATAGTGTCCAGTTCCTAGTTTTTACTCTCCAAATGTTAATTATTTTTATCATTGTCGATATTTTCAGAGATGAGAAACATAGCATATTTCTCTTATAGCTCTATCTACCCAAATTTCAGACTCTAAGTTACTTACCTACTTTTTCTATTCCTACAAGTTTCAACTTGGATTCTTCTTGCAGGAAACTTTCTCTTTTTGACCATCATTGCCTGTGTTATTTGGGCCCTACATTATGCCTATATCAGACCTTGTAATTACCCACAGGTTTTTATTTTATCTGTTCACTTGTTTCCTCTCTGGACTGTAGACTCCTTGAGGCCAGAAACTGGGTTTAGTTGGGATTGTGTTTTTCTTATTGTTGTAGTTATTGTTTTTATACTCTATCTCCACTGAAGCCTACTATATAGCAGATGCTTAATTGGTGAGTGCAAAGAGTAAGTAAATGAATGTAAGGCCTCTGCATTGTCATAGGGGTCAACTTTTAACCTACTTAAGGTGCAGTTTTGAAACTCAAAGGAGCATTTCAACAGATAGCAATAAGCTCCTGCGTCAGTGCTAATGCCACTTGCTGCATGTTGGTTAGGATAACTGTAGTGTAAAAAATTTATAATTCAACTCTTCACTAATTCTTATTGTCACTGTAAAATTGTGTGAAATACTACTGCAATTTCTCAGTATTACTGACATTTTGGATAGTCAATTCTTTGTATATTTTAGGTTAAGCATTATCCCTGCTCTCTAACCACTAAATGCCAGTAGCATCCACTCCTTCAGCCCCTGACAATCGAAAAATCTCTCCAGATATTGCCAAATGTCCCCTGGGGGTCAAAATCCCTGCTGCTCTAAAGGAACTACCACTCTTTTACCAAGAAGATCATGATGATTCCTCGACATCACCTTCACTAAATACAAGTTGGTTTATAACAAGTTACAAGATCTGAGTTCTTGGCAATCATAGAGCCAAGCAATTTGATTTTAACTCCTGGCTCCTGACTCTTCCATCAAGAATGGAGTAGAGGGGCCTCCCCGGTGGCGCAGCGGTTGAGCACTGGGTTGCGAGGCTGCCCGCGGCCTCTGCGGCGCCGGTTCGATCCCCGGCTGCTCCCCGGCCACCGGCGGAGGGTCCCACGTGGCGCGCGGACCTCTCCTGCCGCCCGCTGCTCCCCTCAGCAGTGTACTTCGGTCCTTCTGCTTGCTCTGCTCCCCGCTCTGGCTCTGGTGAATTCTCTCGCCCTCCCGCGCTTCTGACTGTGCCCAGTGCATGTGTGGACAGAACAAACAGACAAACAAAATAAATGGATAAAACATG